AAAGCCCATAAAATTTTTTTTATAAAATTAAGGTTTCTAAAGGTCTCTATATCGATTCATATTATAATATATTCTTCTTAGTACAATTCTAGAGAGATTATAAATGGTTTTGTGAGATTAATACTATAATCACAAATAACTCGAAGATTCATCTAGTGTTGTAATTCCTAGTTATTATTTTGTTTTGTAATTTTTAATTGAGGTTGAAAAATCCTTTTCAAATTAGGACCTAATTAAAACACTAATGACATTTATTGTCAATGAATTGTGATAAACCTTGTCAATCAACTTTTAGTCCTTATCCTTGATGTAGAATTGTTGAACAAAAATTATCAAGGAATTGAGATTTTCCTTAAACAACCTAAAGTTTCTCACATAAAAAATCAAGGTTTAAATACAATTGTGAATTGTCGAATTAACTATATACTTATAATGTTGAATGAAAAATAATAATATTTTATACAAAGATAGTTAATGAATCAATTCCTTACTACTTTTATTAGTAATCAAATTTCATTACAATTTACTACTTAATTATCATATTATTGCATTTAAACAATTATATCTAGATAATTTTAATTTCTTAGTAATTTGTTTGTTTGGTATGAATATTATATTAAACATCTATAAACCCAAGTCTCAGTGGATTTAATACTTAGACTTTTATCCTCTTTACTACTACGTTAATTAGTATACTTGTCAAATATATATCATTTGTTTAAATGTCTTTTCTCTTTGTTTTCACTTTTGTAAATTAAAAAAAAAAAAAAGATAGATGTTTAGTGGCTACCAATGATTGTGATGTTGATTTAACACAAATTCAAAAGTTAGATGGAAAATTAAAAAATTGAAGGACAAAATTCACAAAATCGTGAAGCCAAAGTGAAAAAATATGAAATTAAATCTCCTTTTTATGATATTTATAAGGACTAAAATAACATTTTTTGAAATTATAGAGATTAAAAAGATAAGTTTTAAATTTGAGGGATCAAAATAATAATTTTTGATATTTTGAGAACTAAAAACATAGGTTTTAAATTTTAGGGACCAAAAAATACATTACTCAAATTTGAAGGATTAAAAGCATAATTAAGCCAAGAATAATTCGTAAGTTTTAGATCAAGTACTTTTTATATTGTGTTTATGTATGTTGTACACTCATGGGATTTTATCCGACCTAGCAATTATATGTGAAGAGTGGAATATGATAGTTATATTAAAAGACATGTGAATTAAATTATTTTTTAAAATCATGACAAGATAGGTGACTTAAAAAAGGGATACAGAATAAGGAATAAAAGTTATAATCATTGCTTCGAGATATAAAAACAACAACAAATACAATGGGAGAGGATAGACTTACATGTTTGGCTAATGACTATACTTTTTACCATAACATATGCGAAATAAATTGGTCACATGATTTTATTAGGAATTTGGGGATGAATTGAAATATGAACAGGTAAACCTAATTATTGGATCCATAGGAATGAAACTTAGGTCCAAAGCATCATAGTAAGTAAAACTTTCAAAGATTAATTAAAAGAATGAAAGATAACTTAGTATTTTTTTTTAGTTAGAAAAGATTATAAAGATGTTCATAATGATAAATTGATAATTGTACCTAGATCTCATGCATCGATCTATTCTAACTTTTTTTTATGTCAACCACTAAACTAACTTTAATGGTCGAAAGATACCATAGGTTAATCCACCCTAAGTGAAACATAAAAGTAAGAAATTAATTTATCGAGTTTCATTCTAAAAGCTTTTTTTATTAAATTATATTCTATCTTAATTACTATTTTATTTTCTAATTTAAATTATAAAACTTTCAATTTTTCAGTTCAATTCTAATTTTTAATTTTTAATTATCATTTTAATTATACTCAATTAGTAATAATTACCTTGTCAAAAACACGATTTAATGGATTCAATACTTTTTATTACTTGTATAGTACACTTGTGATTTTCCATGTCATTTACCACTTAAATTAATAAATATTAATAAAATTTATAAAAATTAAAAATGTCAAATATGGAAAAGAAATTTTGTTTTATAAATTTTTTAAACATTTAAATTTTATTAAATAAAAAAAAATATTAAGACCTTACTTAAAGCATACAAGTTACAACAATTCATTGGTCCATGTAGTACTTGTTAGAATTATTTTATGGTATTTGTTTGGGAGATATTTTATAAGAGTTATAACTTTGTTATTTTTATAAGGTTATTTTACACGCAACTTCACAATGATGAAATATTGTCTGCTTTGGACCTAAGCCCTCACGATTTTGCTTTTAGTTATCACCCAAAAGGTCTCTCAATCATTGTGGTATATGTGTGATTTATAACTTGTTATTTCTTCTCTTATTTTATCGATGTAGTACTTTGTTTGTATTTCAACAATTCTTTCTTCAAACAAGGGACCTAACATTTCATGCAACTAAATATGTCTTTGTTGTCATCAAATCCAACCTGTGGCTCTAATACCACTATTGGAGTTATTTTGTCGGTATTTGTTTGAGGGATATTTATATCAAGAGGAGAGGGTTATAACTTGTTATTTTTTACAAGGTTATTTCATACACAATTTCACAATGTTGAGATATTGTTTACTTTGAGCTTAAATTCTCATAGTTTTACTTTTAATTATCACCCAGAAGGCCTTTTGATCATTGGAGTATGTGTGTTTTTTATAAGTTATTATTTATTCTCTTATTTTATCGACATGGAACTTTATTTGTATCCTAGTACTAAACTTAATAATCTTCTTAAATAAGATCTCATATTTGACTCTTGTGAATAATTAAATATGGTTGAAAATGAAAGCTTTATTAAGAGTAATCAATAGCATGTTCTATGATAGAGATTAATCATTAATAAAATTAATGAATATTTTGTACCAAAATTATGATTGTAAAAAAGAAGAAGAAAGATATGAGTCAATTCTACTCCAATTAACCTAATGTTGATATATGATTATGATAAATAAAAAATTACCCTAAAAAAAACAAGATGCCTTTATGGAAAGCTTATGTTATTCTCACATGTCTCTCATTAAGTCCATACCTTTTTTTTTACTTTGAGAAGATCCCTTTATACCACCTTTTTGTTGTATATTGTTGTCATTTTTACGAACTACTATTAATCACAAACCACACCAAATTTTCAAATTGTATAACCACAATAATAATATCCTGGGACATGTAATGATATTGTTCTTAAGGACTTATTTGCATAATGAGTAAGTTCTCAAAGATATACAAACCCTTTTAAAAAATAATTGAAATAACAAAACTAGCAAGTGTTTTTAGTGAGAATAATCCAAGAATTCATTGGAAATAAAATGATTAAGAATGTGTAGAGACTAGAGATTTCTCTCTATGTAAAACCTTCTCAAATGTCATACTTATCATGAATAAAAACTATTCCTTAAACTATCTAAGACCAAACTAACAAATTAAGATAATAAGGTAACAACAATTCTTAAAAGACCAAATTAAAAGTATAAGATGAGACTTTGTTTATAAGACGAAGTGAACAAGACGAAAATCAAATATAATTAAAATATCTTTTAGATAAAGATTAAATTAATGTATAATCATTTTCTAAAACTTAAATAAATACAATAACTATTGAGTGAGAAACATAAAACATGAAGTTAGGCATTATAACGTGAGCTATATTTTGCTGTCAAAATAGGGTAAGGACGGTATTTGTGTTCATAGCCTGTTCCTTGATCCTTTTGTGGGGAATCCTCTTTTATCATTCATATTGCTTAATGTTTACTTGAACATCCCACCAACCTGTTAATGCCAGTAATAATGTGTAGCCCCCTACACTTTTCTCCCCATAAAGCCAGCACAATTGCACAACCCTTTGCTTTCCCCATCTTACTAAATCAATATTTATGCTATTGCTCATACCCGACAAATATTCACCTCTTTTATCTTTTACTTTTCCATGGATTATATGATCAAAATTGAAATTTTCTCTAACTTTGAGATTTTCATTTGTTGTTTGTATATGTATAGAACGTGATTGAAATAAATATGTTAGTATTACAAAAAAGAAATATGTGAGGGAGACAAAAAAGTTATTCAAATATGTTTATAAATTATATATATATATATTTAAAGTCGTGTCATGATTGTCCCAACACAACATTCCACCCAATAGCAAGTTTTATCCTCCTTACAAATCGCAAGTTTCAGTTATTTATTTTTTTGTGGTACACAGTTCATTTTCATTTTATTTTATCATATGGTTTAAATTTTTTTATATTATTTTTAACTTAAAAATAATTAAAATAGTTTTTTATGGATTTATTTGTTGATTAGCATAACACATTATAGAAATATTTTAATATTATAGATATCAGTAACTTATCTTAAGCAAGAAAAAAGTCGATAAAACCATTAAGAGTGTAAAACCTCCAGGATGTGGTCCTTTGTTGGTTCATTGAGCTACTAAAGATAGTAAGACACAAAAACACTTCTCCATAAATACTTAGGCTTGAAATACATACTCCTTTTGGATGTCAAGAATGTACAAACTGAATAAAATACGCAATTTTTCTTATTATTTTACTGAGTTGACATGAAACAAAAAAAATGCTATAAAAAGCTTAGACTTGATTTCTTGTACTAGCCCTTATAGGCATTATATTAATTGGTAATAGTAAATGTTACCTGAAATTTGAGACGTGTCTCGAATATAAATAAGATACGATAGTAAATATTATTCGCATGGTGATGATGGCTACAACACAGACATGGTCACCATGGTTGTTAGTTATAAATGCACCTAACTACCTTCACCCGCTTCAGGCCTCACCCTAATAAAAAGAATTGAAATGAATCTGTCCACGTGATGAAAGAGTGGGTAACAAACTCATTATTCAAATTTAACATGTAAGATTAACGCATTTATCTTTATGTTATGTCATCTTCGCATTTTAAGTTAACCCCAAAGCCGAAAAATAAGGCAACAAAAAATAAAAGATTGATAAAAGTGGTTTCAAAAAGAAAGGGACAGCAAGAGGAATAAGAGAATGAGTGAGAATCATGTGAAGTACCGCCGCATATAACATACTCTCTCTCTTAACCTGTTTGTTAAATTCAACAAAACACACCCTTTGTGAGAACTTGTTGTGTAGTTGGGGTGTTGGGACCAATTCAAGTTCAATGGCTGCAACAGCTTCAAGGTTCATCAAGTGTGTGACCGTTGGGGATGGAGCTGTAGGCAAAACTTGCATGCTTATTTGCTATACAAGCAACAAATTCCCCACGGTATAATCTACTCTTTGCTGCATATCATATCTTTCTCTCTCTTATTTGTTTGAGATTTTTTTATCAACGGTTTAGTGTTGAGATCATCCTAGATTTCATGAAATCAATGTGTCTTTTTTTGCATGCTTTCTGGTTGGGAGAGGAGGGAATGTTGTAATTCTCGTTGAAAAACCTATCTTTGTCATCTGGGTTGTTCCTTAATATATTGTTTCTGTTGAATCTCTGTCTTCTGTTTTGGAGTCTAATTTTTGCTTGTGGGGTTGTTTGGTTATCAGGACTATATTCCCACGGTGTTTGATAATTTCAGTGCAAATGTTGTTGTTGAAGGCACAACTGTCAATTTAGGCCTCTGGGACACTGCTGGTATGCTTACACAGACTTGGCAATTGTTGTTGTTGTTTGTGTATATGAGAGTAGTTAATCTTGACCATTCAATGTTACATGGATGATCGAGATTAGCTCTTATAAGGCTTACCATGTAAGCAATTTAATTTCTTATTATGAGCTTGAAAGAATTTTGTTAAGGGCAATGGCAAAGGTTGTTAAGTTCCATTTGCTTCCACTGTCTTCCTTAGGGCAAGAGGATTACAACAGGCTGAGGCCTTTGAGCTACAGGGGAGCAGATGTCTTTGTCTTGGCTTTCTCTTTAGTTAGTCATGCAAGCTACGAAAATGTGTTGAAGAAGGTATTCTGGGGTCTCTGAACTGTATCAGTACTTTGACATGACTTGGTTGATGGTTTCTAACTATATTCTAATTTTGTATACTGTTCAGTGGATCCCTGAACTGCAGCATTTTGCCCCTGGAGTCCCAGTGGTGCTAGTTGGTACCAAATTGGGTAAGTTATCAAGCACTGGTCAATGTTATTTCATCTTTTATTTGTAGTTTTCCTTTTTTTTTTTTTTTTGTTATGGCTTGTTCATAAGGCCTAACCTTAATGCTGTAAAAATTGGATCTGTTCAACCAGAACCGATCTATACTGATACCGTGTTTGATTCAAGAACCATAGTTACATGCCAACGCTATACAGAAACATATGACCTCAGTTAGTTACAAGATATCTGGTACAAAAAGTACAACATAACTTGTTACTCAGATATTTGGTAATGAACAAATTTGTCTCTGCCTTTCCTTCCAGAAGACTTTTGGCCACTTATATTTACTATTTCTGACTTGAAGCAGTCCTTAAATGATGAACCTTATCCGAGTTCTATAACCACTATTTGTGGATAATGTTTCTCTTTAATTCTTGGGCAATAGCAACTTAGTAGTTAATAGTCACAAAAATAATGGTAAAATATTGAATCTACCGCTTGTATAGATTTTTTGACAACTGTCTTTCATGGATGGTGGTAGTTCAATGTTATTGGCTTCTGCATATAATAGTGTATTTGTAATGATCTTGTAGATCTCCGAGAAGACAAACACTATTTGGCTGATCATCCTGGTCTGGTGCCTGTGACTTCTGAGCAAGTACAATGTCTTTTCTTTATTAGCTACCTAAAGAATTCAATAAGCAGTGATTATTGAAACTGTTGGGTTTTGTCCATAATCAGGGTGAGGAATTGCGTAAACTGGTAGGAGCTGCATATTATGTAGAGTGCAGCTCAAAAACCCAGCAGGTATGTATATAGTACCATTTTATTCTTGCATCACTTGATATTCAAGCAATATATAGACAAATTTTCACATTTCTATTCTAAATAAATATTATCTCAATTCACTACTTCAAGAGCACTGTAGCCCATTGTTCACCAGTGCATTACTGAGCATAACAACTTTGAACATAGTATTTGTTGCTCTGGGAAATGCAAGGCTCAGGGAACATTCATTTTGAAATTAAGCTCTAGAGAGAAATATTGGATCAAATCTATGATAATCCAATTAAAAGAGATGAAGGGCAACCTAAGATAACTTTAACAATAATAATTGTGTTATTACTTGCTAAATGGTACTGTATTTGTGTTTTACTGAAAATTTGCTTTTTGGTGAAGACCAATGATGTCAATTTATCCATGTAGCGGAGTACACCTGTGTGTCAGGCTTAGTTATTGTTGTGAATATGGTTGGTGGGTAACAGTTGGTCAAAAAGTTAAATCAATTATGTGCAGGGACCATACTATTATTGTCCTGGCCAAATGTGGTTATTTCTACACATTTCTTAATATAGGGAAGTTTACTTCTCTAGAGAGAATATGCGAAAGATGTAAATTCATCACCTTAATAATTCCTTTGGAATTGAAATATCTACAATAAAGCTAAGCTTTAAGTTCAGTATCTTCTATGTCTCATTTTTGCTTCAGAAGATAGTGTTTGCTATTTTTGCATATAAAACTTCCTGTTATTTCTGAAATTCTGCTGCAAATGAACACCTATTGACAATGCAATTAATTGCAGAACGTGAAGTCAGTTTTTGATGCAGCTATCAAGGTGGTCATCAAGCCTCCACAAAAACAAGAGAAGAAGAAAAAACCACGTCGAGGGTGTTTTCTGTCAGTACACTTTTATCATATAATAACTCTTGCACATGAAACTATCTTCTTACTTATGAAAAGGGATAGCTCGCTGTCTATTGAATTCGTATATACTGTCTGGCACTTACATTAATTATCCATATATTTGATATACATAATATATACCCAACCTAAAGAAAAAGCACTTATCTATATGGTTAAGACACAAGACTTGAAACATCATTAATCAAGACAAGCTTTTTGTTGAACATTTATTTATTCTATATCACTATATTGTTTGCGGATTATCATGTACTTGAGGGTTTATTTTAATCCATCTCAATGGAACTGCAGAAATGTCATCTGTGGAAGGAACATAGTTCGTCTTAAGTGAATCATTTCATCCAAAGGCTTTTCTTGGGAGGGAGAAGTGCTGTCATCATCATTCTGTAGAAATTTTAAATTGACTTTGGTTTTTTGGCTTTTATAATTTCTTGATAGGGTTATGCCTTGAGGAAATACCAAGTGTTTTTTAGCATTTTTTTTTTTTTTTTTTGTAAGGAAAGAACAATGAAAGCCAATTCATGGCTAGCTATTATTATGCTTATGTTGATATCACGTACATAGATGAATCACAAGAAAAATTCACATTTATTTATTACATTCACGTATATGATTAAAAGTTGTTTTTGATAGAGCTATTTTGATCCATTCGAATAAGTAAACCAACCTACTGTAATTTTCAATTTATCTCACAACAAATGGATCTTTGACAAGTCCACACAGTAATCTCAGTTAGGCCTGTAATCAAACGAGTCATCTTATCAGGCCCAACAGAAGTTTAGTTTGTTGAACTTAACGAGCCTTGTTGAGTATGAATGGTAAATCCAAAAACAAAAAAGTATGACCTTTCGAGAAAAAAATATCTTACCCTTCCAATTAATTAAAAAAAATAGTTTTAGTGTAACTTTTTAGATGATTATTATCAAATATTATTTTAATACTTATTTAAAATAAGTTGGATGATGGTATATTTTATTCATGTTAGTATAAAATAATCTGATGGTTTATTTATCTGATTGTTAGTGGTATTTTATCATAGTACATAAGAATTTTTGATTACCTCCCAGAGCTCCCAACGCTTGAAAATTGGTGTAATATTATGTTGCATGGAAAATATAACAATATATATTCACATTTAATGGTGATTTGTTCGTGTGACGTGAATGGCTAACTGTTGGTGACACATGGAGGGATGAAATTTTCTTCTTATCTTCTTACATTAAATTTAATATTCCAATTATGCAACTTAGACATGGACATTTCAACAAAGAGGGACTAAATTAATTTTTCAATAAATTGGACAGTGCCAATTCGTATTACGTCAACAAAATCGTGAATGAATAATTAAAAGTTTTAAAATAAAAAGGGGTGATGGAAGATGGAGCTATATAATTGAAGTGTAATCAGTTGATTAAAACTTCCACTGACGGAATGTGGAGTTAAGCCACAAATGCAATTAATTAGGTGTAGTGGTTACTAGTAGTATATTATATGTTAAAGCTTTCACTTCTTTAAAAACTTAAAGTGTTTAAATACATTTTTTTAATTTCTTATTATTATCGAGATTTTCTTTTTTGTCTTCTTAATCTTTTCACGCAAATTTGGTTCTTTTACTGTGTTATGTAATTTTGACTTATTTATTAACTTGACGTCAAATAATTAATGAAAATATATATTGATATGGTATTTTCTTGTATTGTCACGTTAACACATCTATGTTCAGCCAAGTATGTGAAACTTTCTTACATTGTCAGGTAAATGTTTTTATTAATTATTAACGTTAAGTTTTAGACAAATCAAAATTACATAATTAAAATAATATAGAAATCAAATTCGTGAAAAAACAAATAGGAAGGCCAAAATTGAATTTCAATAATAATAAACGAACCAAAAAAATGCAATTAAGATTCATTTAATTAAATATGCATATAATACTTTTTTTATTATGTAACAAACTTGATAATGAGATTTATTAAAATAAACTAAAAATAATTTATTAAAATAAGTTAAAAATCTATAAAAAAATTATAATAATTTTCACAAGACTAAATAAGTTTTTTTATTTTTTATTTTTATATTTCAAACGAGATTGTTACGAAAAAGAAACATGTAAAAAAACAAAAAAAAAAAAAAAAAAAAAAAAAAAAAAAAAAAGGTCAAGTCACTTCGAAGTTCAGAGAGTCAAGAAGAAGTCAATGCAAGGAGAAATACTCTTACATTGATTTTATTTTTTAGTGACAAATTTTTAAAAAAATTAATTTGATATTGTTTTAAAAGTTTAAGGTAATACTAATATTAATTATGCTTTTATCTTCACATATTATATATATATATATATATATATTATGAAATTAAAATTTAAAGAATAATTAATGATAAAAAATTAATAAATAAAATACCAAAATAATAAAATAATCAATAATTTTTATAAAAATAAAACATTGATTATAGTTTTTAATTTTCCTGTCACAGTCTTGAACGACGACTTTGAAAAATGAATAGAAGTAGTATCTTCTTATTAATTCTTTATTTTATAACGTAAATATTAAACAAAAAACAAATATTTTAATATATTAAAAATGTAAAAACGTGTTTACTTTTTTAAACCAACTTACCTTTACATTTTTGTAATTTTATATTCAATATTTTAAACATTATATATTACAAATATTTTAAAATCCATCATCTTTTCTCCAATTTTTTTCAATCCCGAAGAAAAATTAAAATTAGGCTAGAACTAGAAGGATTTTCTTCTCCTTCCCCCCAAAAATTTGAAGCAAACAAGACAATTATTTTTTTAAAAGAAAAAACTCTTTCCTTTATCCCTCATCTTCTTTCCTCCAACTAAACACTCCGAAAGAAATTAAAATTCTATTATTTAAAAGTAGTTATAAAATAAAATAAACTATATTTATACACATAATTAATGACGAATGTAGGGCAACGTTCCGTATGATTCTCTTTTTACATGTGGAGCAGCAAAACAAAGAGAGAAATGAGTCAGAAGTTAAGTTACAACCATATCTTCTGTTTCCAAGACTGAGGAGATACAGGGATTTTGTGACCTTGCCTCGGAAAGACCAATAAAGGTTCGGTTTATATGGACAACCACATTGTGTCCCTTCTCTTCTTTCTCTTGCCCCATCACCAACCTTTCTTTTGTTTCCCACCCCAATATTATTTCTTAATCCTGCTTTTGGAGGCTTTGATTAAAATTTGTAGTTAATTAATTCCTACTACTTGATGCCTTTATCATATTAATACCTACTTTTGTTGTTATCCGAGTGCAAAAGAGAGAAGAAAGGTGATGTTTGATTATTATATATACAAACAGATAAAAAAGGACAACTTTAGAGGAGCTCCATTTCTATTACTTGAATTCCAACCTTCAATTGTAATTTTATTCTCTCTTTTTCTTCTATCCAATAGAGACAAGTTGTTGACCACTAATATATTAAATAGGGATGAGAAATAAATTCGCATATTTAGATAATACTTGAAATCGATCTGATTTTGACGGGAAATATGTAGTTTGATATATTATAATTGTAATATAATAAAAAAAAATTTTAAAATATTATATATTTTTTTTACAAAAAATATATGTATAATTTTTTATGGATACAAATATATCCGATACCCGATAAGGACTAAAATAATATATCAAACGAGTACAAATATAAGTATAGGGACGAATTTAAATTGCGAGGACAAGGACGGATATCATAAAACTCGTATCCGACCCGCCTAATGTCATTCCTAATATCTAACTGATCTAGTATTTCTTTCGTGTATATATATATACACAAACAGATAGAAAAGCACACAGATTGTTCCTTGAGAAATGGAATTTCCATCTTGTTTGATATAGTTTTTCTTTCGTATAAAAACAACTCCCGTGTTAAATTAAATTAGTAATACTATTTTAGAATGGACCTTTGGAGAAATTCAATTTTAAGGCATGTATCTTTAAGGTCACAAAGATATAGGTATGTGCTTGTCTAGCATGGTAACAAGATAATTTTGTTAAGGCATTCTGCACGTCAAAAAGTTTTGTGATTTCTTCTTATTAAGTGACTTTCAGCTTTGATTAGTATATTTCATATTTTTCTAAATGTTTATTTTCACGTTCAATCATAAATCACAATCTAACTCAAACTTTTAAACTTGTATAATCATCACAAACAAAAATACAATGAAACATGAGATAAAATTGCATCATTGTAAGTAGTGCAAATCTTTTCCAGATATTTTTTTTAGTGAGAATAACTTAAAATCCACGACGAGAGAAAAAAAAAATAAAGAAAAGATGCAGGAAAATAGTTTACTAAAATATTTTTGAACCGTAATATTTATAATAAAATTATTTTAACTGATCAATCGATCAAGATGAATAAGTGAAATCAACTCTTAAAAACTGAGTTATAATAATAAAATAAAACTCAACTTAAAAGATCGGGTCAATTAAACTATTTATATTTAAGTAAAATATATCTCTAATAATAAAATTAGATCAATTTAAAATTTTTATAAAAAAAAACTTAATTAAATAGTATTTTAATTTTTTTGAAATATCCAAATTAAATAATATAACAATCCTTTTCATTTCAAAAGGTTAAATAAGTTTAAAAAAAAAAAGATTTTCTCAAGATCTCATTCTCTTGGATGTATTGTATTAGACTAGATATAACAAATTATATAAATCAGGCCTAAACTAGTAAAATATAACACACAATGTAATTGGTATAATAAATTAGATGAATTAAAAACATTCTTTATATGTTAAACATCTATTAATCACGCTACACTTTTATAGGCCTTATTTTAATATTCTTTGTGCAGATCGCCACAAGTTTACTTGCATATATATAGAACAATACACTAAATGTGTAGGATCTACAACATGTTTAGATAGGATAAATACCCAGTTTCATCATATTGATTTTTAACTTAAATGTTCTTCAATTATTGTTATGGAATCCGTCTAACAATTGATCATGAACATGAATAAATAGAAATGGTGTTTTATGGTTATTCTTTTAACCGAATCTCTTGAATTTCCTAATGAGATTTTAGCTTCTCTTTGGATGAAAAAAATGGACTATGAGTTTAATATGATTCAATTTATCAGGGACACAATCTTCTTATAATATATTAATCTAAAAGGATTTTTATTATTCTTTAATGAGTCAATACTACATCTACTTACTTTAACTTATATAATTTTTTTTATTTATCAAAATTATAAAAATGACATTAGAGTTCGAATATAAGATTATATATATATTAATCTAAGCAATAACTTAATTTGTTAACTGATGATAAATAGTTTTTTTTACAACGATAATAAAGAATTAATATGATTATTTTATAATACTAATTCACATCTATATCATTATATAAAAGGAATATCCTTTTTTTTAGTAACTATTTTAGTTTTTATTTTATATGAAACATTTTATCTTTTTTTAATTTTCTCATAAATTCAAACAACTCATTCTCTTTCAAGAATTTTTGGCTTAAACCATCTATTCTTTATAAATAATTACATGACTTTTTTTTACAAAAACAATTAATAACTACCCACTTCA